TCCCCGCCTATTTCTTTACTTTTATTAAAGTAGGGCTCTGCTTTCAGGGCAGAGGGCACAATGTCCTAAGCTTCAGGGGTTTTGTGCAGCTATTTTCAGAGACACTTCTAGGGACCTGTAAGTTTTCAATTCTTTCAAGGTAGTGTGATCTAATGAGAGGTGTTTACACCTCTCCTGGCCTGTGCTCTGGTCTGTGAGTGACCACAAGCATTCTTTTCCATCCTGGAACTGTAAGGAGGGTTCCTCCCACCCACACCCTCATCCTGGGGCCACAAGCTCTGCTCTGTGAGTGTTCTCTCCGCTCTGGGCTGGTCACCTAAAACTGTGACTGAGATCCAAATGTGGGCAAAGCAACAGAGTCCTGCCTCTGTGCTATCAAAAAGACCCATGTAATCTCCAGTTGTCCTACCCCCTGGCCACCTATGGGCTGAGAGTTCTGGAAGCAGCCACTGCTGTTGCTCATTCTGTTACTCCTAAGGCCTTCTCCTGTTTTCCTAGGGCTGGAGCTTGGGCTGTGCTGGTGCATCCTGTGCTGGAGTAAGATCCACTCTTACCCTGGTCTGACAGATCCTTCCTGTTCACTTTCCAAGTGGTCTTTGGTAACTGTGGACTGAGAGGTCTAGAAACCATCACTACTGCCAGTAATTCACTTGCCCAGAGACCTGCTTTGAATTTGCTGGGGACTGGTCTGTACTAGCTTGGCCTAAGCTGGACTGTGCTCCTCTTTCACTCTGGTGCAACAGATCTCTTTCCTGCTGACCTTCGAAGTTATCTTCAGCTGGAAATTTGTTTCACTCTATCTTTTTTTGTGGGTTCTGCTACTCTAAAATTTTTTAAAGTCACTTTTAAAAAGATATTTGGAGGGGTTTGGGAGATAGCTCAGATGAGTACCTGTCTTTATTACCCTATCTTATCTTAAGAGAAAGTGGGGGAAAGAAGAAATAGGAGAAAAGGAGAGAGAGAGAGAGAGAGAGAGAGAAGAGAGAGAGAGAGAGAGAGAGAAGAGAAGAGAAAACAGAGAAGAGAAGAGAAGAGAAGAGAAGAGAAGAGAAGAGAAGAGAAGAGAAGAGAAGAGAAGAGAAGAGAAGAGAGGAGAAGAAAAGAGAAGAGAAAAGAAAAGACGAGAAGAGGAGGGGAGGGGAAGGGAGGGGAGGGGGGGAAGGGAGAAGAGAGAAGTGAGATGAGTGATATGAGACCTTCTCCTAGTCCATATTCAAATGTGGAAGGGATGGCTTCTAACTCAACCTAAACTGCTCTGAGGCAGTAATATAGTAGAAAAATTACCAGATTGTATGACTAGTTGCCCCCTAACCAGCTACAGTGCATTACTGGGTAAGCCATTTGACTTCTCTAGAGCTCAATTATTTCCTTTTTAAAATTATTTAATTCAAGAAACAGTTATTATCAGTAGATAAAATGCCACCCAAAATCCCATCCCCTCTAAAAAGTTATTGGAGAGATAGAAGAAATTGAATAAAGATTTCATCTTCATTTCACCACTATCCTATCATTTTCTCATGACTTTAATATGATATCAAACATGCGAAAAGTTCTGTATCACTATGATTTCCACTGGAAGGAACAAATATCCATGTTGTGTTTTTTTTTAACTCATTTTGAATATTTCTTGGCTATGGAAGTGCCTATATTTTCCCAAAACTCAACTGAATTTCACAGAATGTTATTTTTCAAAAAAACTTTCTCTGACTGTGAGATGGAAGGTTTGCAACTTGAGTATTGTTACCTCATGCAATGTTTTTCATGGGCATGATTTCTAGAGGTGGGAGCTTTGGAATAAGGTATGTAGAGCCACCTTCAGCACTTTTGAATATTGTCGCATACCTGGAAAGTATATATCCACATTTTCAGTACTTCAGTATATCCATAGATTTGCAACCTCATGAATGTAGATAAACCCCATAATGATGAAGCTCACAACTTATTCATTCTTGTTCATTATCTGGAACTCTTATTAATGGTTCTCAAATAAATATAGGTAGATCCAAATAAGTGTAAACAATAAATCCCCTAAAGTGGTCACATTATTAGAATTTGCATGGCATATTTCCATTAGGATTGAAACAATTATCATATTTTAAATAATTTTAACTTTGGATAGTATGAATTTGAATATATGTGACCACTTCAGGGGATTTGTTATTCACACCATTTGGAACCAAGCTACACACAGGGTATCAACCCAACTAGACATAAACGTAAAATTCATTTACTAGATATGAGTGTTGTGGATTATTAAGGATGTTTTAGGGAATGGATGGATAGAATGAAGATATGTGACAGAAAAATGATGCTTAGCTTTCCAGAATTGTTGCATTAATGTATATGTGTGTGTGTTTATCTGTTCCGAGAGCATGGTACCATCACAACTGGCTCTATTATCATCTACTTTACTACTGAGTCTGGTGAAATGGGAAGTTATAGGATGAAAATGATAACATTGAAGCAAATTCTGCCATTCCTAGGGCTACCACTTTGGGCCAAGGAATTAGGAAAGGCTGAAAAGTAATGGCAAAAACAGCCACCACATTTATTCCTTTGGAAAAGATCAGTCTGGACATGGGGAAAATATCTTATGATTTCCATATTAATCCTGGACGGAGTACAACCTTATAAAGGAAAAAAAAACCTTGAAGTCTCATTTGCTGAAACTATTTAAAGTCCTGGTTGACAAAAAAATACTATAGGAAATTGTCCAGCACAGACAAAGGATTAAAAGGGTGACTTAGCAGGTTATTTGCATCTCTAATTTCTATGACTCCAGTGGAATTGGAAGTAGTGAAGTGGGTTTGGCCCTTCTTATTAGAATACTTACTGAGAGCAAGAGATTAAAACCCAAATGAATCAATAAATGGCTCACAGTTTCAAGGAAGTAGGAAAAATACTCTTTTCAAATTCTAAATGTAAGAAGCCAAAGGAATAGAAGTAGGATAAGCACTTGGACCTTATTAAGAAGTATGATAAAATGGGATTTCCAATTTTTCATCTTCTGAATTAGCCTTTAAAATGGTGCCAAATCAGTATCTTGTAAAACCTCTCCACACTGTTCCTACAAGTTTTCATTGTTAAAAGGGAGGGAAAAGTTTTGATTACTTTCAATTTGGAAGATGAGAGGGGAGAATTATTAATGAAACTGGGAAAGGGGCTGAGAAATAGAGTCTCAGTTGGTAGGATATGTGGGGGACCCGGATGAAACCATATAAGAGATCAAAATAATGATCAAATACTTTAAAAAGCAGTTTGAAATCCTGGTTCTTTCTGATTTCATATGACAATTCCATGAAATAGGTGCCCTTATAAGCTTTACTTTAATAGATGAGGAAATAGTCAAACAAAAATGTTTGACAATTTTTGAATTCATATTTGTTCTCCCAGACCTTATTGGACTCCCAATGCTTTTGACTTCAACCCTATTCATTAACTACCCCTAACATATGTAATGCAGAGTATACAACCTTCTTGAACAAAAGTGATGAATTTAGAAATTTAGTAAAAGAGAGTAGAGGTGTGAAGAAAAAAGAAAAGAAGAAGGAAAGAAGAGTAGGAGGAAGAAGAGAAGGAGGAGAAAAAGAACAAGAACAAGAGGAGGAGGAGGAGGAGGAAGGAAAGAAGGAAGGAAGGAAGGACAGAGTGAAATGGGAGAGGGAGGGGGTAAGAAGGTAGATAGAGAGCAGAAGATTAATAGTATGAAAAGTAAATCTTTCAAAGACTACACTTTCTTTACCTTAAATTTGGCAACCTCATCACCAGCTTAATAAGCACTCAGGTTAATGAAATTTCAAGTAACTTGAAAATGATATACTAATGTATATGACAGTGGTGATCTGTATTACTGGGGGAAAAAAGAATAGTACACCAACCACATCACAGATCTTTTACCAAATGAAGTATATTTAACAGCATAGCCTTAAGAGAAAGGGCCTTTTGGATTATTTTAGAAATTTTGATTTGTTTTTAAAGTCTGTCCTTATGTGAAGGTGTATATATGACTAATTGAAAGTTACATATTTGTATTTTAGCATACCATCTTTATCCCTGTTCATAGTTTCCAGTAGAGTTCACAATAATCCCTGAAAGGAGAATGACAATGGGTATTCCTTTATGCTTATATTAGTCTTTTAAGTCTTTCTTCAAATGAAGTCACATGGACTTCCCAGTTTTATCAGGAAGAGAGAAAAAAAAGGAAGAAAAATAAAAGACTTTTGTTAACTCCTATATCTCTCAGAAGAACTAGATTCTAACTACTGCTGCTCTCAAATATACTTTGGGTTCCACTCACTACTTTTGTAGTAAATGGTATGTTCTTAATAATGTTTCTTCTCATCAGTCTATAAAATCTTCTTCCTAAGGGATAGGTGCAGTATCCTATTTTCATAGCCTTCACAACCTGGCTAGACTTACTTCTCCAGCTTACATTGGGCATTACATTTACAATAACCAATGACTCAGCCAAATTACTTGTCCTTTTTGCTATTGCTCATATACAACACATGCAACATTTCTCTATTAGTCTCTGTGTCTTTGTGCTGGCTCTTGCCTACGTCTTGAATGAAGGTCCTGTCTACTTTCATCTCTTAGAAACCCTGATTTCCTTCAAAATTCAGTTTAAGTACAACCTTCCAAATTAAGCCTTTTCTGATCTTCCAGCTCTTACTCGATTAATAAGCATGTATATGTATATGTATACATATGCTCATACATACATATTTTCACTTACATGTATAAACATTGGTGTCTTGTATGTGGCTCATAGGAATGTAAAAATATGTATCTCTAGCATCTCCCTTTCCACTGTTCAACAGAAACTTTGATTCTTGACACGTGAAGAAGCAGGAGATTTCTGACCAGAGGTTAGCTGCTCTACCTTCCTCATAGCATAGAGGTACTTGGCTGATATTTTAATGGGAAAAGTGATTCTCAAGTTTTACATGCAAGGCTTGAGTTTATTTCCATCAAGTGCCAATTCTACAATGGACACAAAGTAAATAGCATAGAAAACATTTATTCAAACCAATGGCAAAAGAGAAATCAAAGAAAGCATATATCTATGATAATAAATAGCAGTCAATAAATATTGAAGTTACTGTCCTATTAGGAGCTGGCTACTCAGCTCAACCAAATGAGTGAATCCCAGATCTCACCCAAAGGGAAATTCCTTGAAGTCTCCATTCTATCTAACAAGTTTTGAATAGGAATATGATAGAGAACTCCAGCTTCTCTCAAGTTGACTTCTTCCCAGTCTTTCTCTCCCTTCAGTGACTTGTAGAGAGGGTGGCATCAAGCATCATCTTTCTTGAAGCTAAAATCAAGAAGACCAATTAAATTGTTGGTTACAGAATGTATGAAAATGGTATAAATAGCAAAGATTATGAAAATTAAAAAGTTAGAGTGTAAACATATATGTATTCATACAGTTTCCTTTATAAAATGTAATTTTCTTAAAGTCTCTTTCATTTTAGTCTTTGTAGCTTTAGTGCTAAACGCAGTGCCTGGCACATGGTAGGGTTTAACAGTTATCTAGTGAATGATTTTTTTTATTCCAAGCTTTGAAATATGACATTGGTTAATGGATAAAAGACTGGTATAAGAGTAATGAAGACTTAGACTCAACTTCCAGTTTTGAACGCCATTAGCTATGTAACTGAGCAAGTCACATCACACCTCAGTGTACCTAGGCAACTCTTTGAGACTGTGAGTTACAGAACAATCATTAATCAATATTGGTGTTGGGATTTTCCTCAAAGAGATCTCCCTACACCAATTTAATCACAGGTTTAAACCACTTTTAAAAAAAAGCTGAAGAAGCTTCACCACATCAAAATTTAAGTGAGCATGTTCTCTCTTTTAAAATATAGAGTCAATTTTGAATCAAGAAGGTGATTCCCAATCCATAACAAAAAGTTGATTCTTTAAGCCAATCTTCAACAGTGGGACCATCCCTTTTTTGAGGTCTACTGTTCTTGTTAAACTTATGGATGGATAGAACTTTTTGGTTTTGATTTCTAACAGATGGAAAGCAAGTAAATATCAGATTTTAATGATGAATTTCCAAGGCAGGTTCCTAATACACACCTACATTGATGGACTGATTACCATACACACCGCATCATAGCTATGTAAAACAACATTTCTTTGTGGCAGAACAAATAATCTAAGTTCTTCACTTGGCCTTTTTTAGCTTTAATTTTCTGCTTTTAACATTAATTGGTGCAATAAAATAGCACATCTTTTCTTGCAATGTTAATGAATCTCATATCCACCAACCCAACCCACTCCTACTGTTATCAGACCAGGATCATAGTCGCTAAATTCAAACCAATTTCCTACTTTTCCTAATCACCAATCAATTTTAGATTTAACTATTATACTATTAATTCCCCCACACCTATTTCTTTTTTCCCTCAAGGATTCCTCACCTGGTTTCCAAATTTTATGGTTTACCCACAGTCCTGAGCAAAGTGCTGAACACAATCTAAATGGTATTGTTAGGAGATAATGCTTACAGTAAAATTGCAACAGAAAATAATAATAAAAGCAGACCATAATCCTTTGTCATGATTGGCAGCACAAGCTAAAATGAATGAAAAACTATTTGTGGAATTGACAGTGTCTGTGACATTTGATGAAATGTTGCTATTCTTTTCATGGGGAGTCAACTTTCAATCATTTATGTTAATGGTGAACAAGTTTAGCACACACACATGAAGTCTACCAATAATATGCCCATCTATTTTAAGACATTATTTCTAAACTACTTATCCAGCCAGTTTTTACAGGTATTGCTGAATAGCCACTAACTGATTAAGCTGCATTTCATTTCTCCTTTCTCCACCTGTCTGCTCCCTATATTTGGTTGACTGTTGTTGTTTAGCAGTGAAATGCCCAGAAATAAGAGAATAAGTGGGAGGAAGAGATGTCATGAGCCTGCATTATCTGCATGCTAGATGAGAACTGCAATTATACATAAAAATCAGCTTGATTGGGCTAATGAAGCAGCCTCTCCCTAGGCCAGATCACTTTTCTTTTCTTCTCATACATTTTACCAGACACACAATGTCAAAATCATTATAAATTTCACTGCTGCAATTGAAAATGATTTAGATCCATATTTTAAAAGATGTTAAGCTCTTTATATATTTGCATGTGACATATTGTCTTTGGACTATATCTGCTATCATTTCTTTGCATTTAACATGTTTTCAATGCGTTTCTTGACATGCTGAGGCTGAAACTCTAAGCACCCAGAGTAACATAAGTTAGGAATTTTACCCTCATTTAACAGATTGGTTTGAATAGAGATCAAGACATTTTCCACAGGTTTTTCAGTTAGTCATTAGAAAACGCATGATCAGAGACTTTTCCTATGGTCTGTGATTTATATGTGCTGTGCAGTGGACCAATATTTCTCTCTATTAAGTTAAAACAGATTTATCATATGATGATTATTACACAGTAAGTAAAGGCATAGGTGGGTTGGGATCTGCTGAAATGAAGAGAGTACTTTCATTGATGAGATAATGCATCCATTGAAGTATTCATGATAGAAGACTAATGGAATTTATTAACAAGGTTTTGGGGGCTTTGTCATAACCAGAGATATCAACTTCAAAAATTTGGATTATCTGGTTACTATTTGTGTGGGTACATATGTGTGTGTGTTTCATCTTACTTGAACTACATAGATCCATAATCCTCTCTTATTGAAAAAAAAAGGTTTATCTGCCTTTCTGCAATATCTATACCCTGGGAAACTTTTTATTATAAGTTGTTCCTGTCTTTAATAATTTTCTTTTTTTTTCCTTTTTTTTTACTAGAGAAATGCTCTCCATGTCAGAGCTCAGCAATCTGTGACACAAATTGTGAAAGAGGTATGTGAAATATTCATTATTTCATCCAACAACTATTTATCCAAAGCACTATGCTAGGTTCTGGGAGAACTATAGAGTTAAAATAAGATATATCCCTGCTCTCTTGAATATCACAATCCTGAAAAAGGAATATGGAAGATGTGAAAATGTTTAATGATTAGAGAACAGTTGTATTGTAAGTATAATTAGAAGAAAATGTAAAGTTTTAGGGAATAATATAGACACTGGATAACCCTAAGCAAATTTGTAGAGTAGATGAAAGGAAGTGGAAATGAGGAGGGAGAGAATTATACTCATTGGGGACAGCCAGTGAAAGTTAATGGAATCAGGAGATAGAGTGTTCTATTCAAGAAATATAACAAAGTGGTCAAAGCCACAGGATCATAGTGTACGTGGAGGGGAGTGAGGTACAAGAAGCTTTTAAAGGTAAGAAAGGTTATAAAGGGTTTTAAAAGCCAAAGAGAGGATTTCATATTTCATCTTGGAGATAATGGAAAACCAATAGAGTTTATTGAAACAAAACTGACAAAAACCTGTGCTTTAGGAAGATAACTTTGATAGCTGAGCGAGAGAGGGACTGGAGTGAGGAGGGAATTGAGGTAGAGAGACCAATTAGAAGGCTATTGTAATAGTCCATGCATAAAGTTATAAGGACCTACACCCGAGTGGTAGCAATGTCAAAGTAGAGAAGCGGGTATGTAAAAGAAATGGTATAAAAGTAGAATTTAAAGCACTAGCCAGAATTGAGGATGACACTGAGGTTGTGGGCCTGGTTAACTTGGAGGATTGTGTTACCCTCAGCCACAATAGGAAGGCTAGAAACTGGGGAGAAGTTGAGAGAAAGACAATAAAGTTAGTTTTGGATATATTGGGTTTAAGATGTCAATTCACTTCAGATGTTATCCACTTCAAAATGTTAAATAGGAAGTCAGAAATGTGAGAATGGAAGTCAGAAGGGAGGTTACAGTTAGATAAATAGATGTGAAAATTATTTGCTTAGATGAATCCATGGATAATAATGAGATCACCAAGCAAAAAGTCTTACGAGAAAAAATAAAAAGCAATCTAAGGGATCCCCACAGTTGTTGGGTGTTGCCTAGATGAAGATGGAGTAAAGATGGCTGCAAAGGAGTCCATACAGGAAGGAGAGAAACAAGGAGAGAACAATATCAGGAAAACCTAGAGAGGAGAGAATATCAAAGAGAAGAGGGTGATTGATAGTGGTTAAGCTTTCAGAATGTTCAATAAGAATGAGGATTGAGGAAAGGCCATCATATTTGGGAGGACAAGACAATCCGAGTTACTAGACATTCAGGGTGGTCTGGTAGGTTTCAGAAAATAAAGGAAGGGGGAAGGGAAGGGAACAAGTATTTATATAGCACCTACAATGTGCCAAGCACTGTGCTAAGTGTTTTACATATATTATCTCATTCAATCCCCACAACAACTTTGGGAGGTAGATGTTATTATTATCCCCATTTTATAGTTGAGGAAACTGAGGCAGACAGAAGTTAAGTGACTTGACCAAAGTCACAGGTCTATCTTTTGTGCCATCTATATGCCCCTAAGGAATATGAAGGCTTGGTCCAATCTTTGCTAGGATGGCTTGCCATACAACATGTCCTTGCTTCAATATTTCTTTTCATGAAACATACTAAATATTTAGGGGTCTATACTGCAACTTGTTTTCTCTTCCAAAATGAGCTGGAAAGTAGAATCAATATTCTTGATAACTGAAGACACGCTTCCTCTTGCCTCTCTTACCAGTTGCTACTTCCTTTGCCTACTTTAGCTGGATATTAGTTATTTATTTATAATAATGAGTGAACCATAATTATATTATGCAATTATGCCCTAATTTTCTCATTTCAACTCCTAAGTCTATTCTTTATTGCTCAATGTTGGGCATAATATCTGACCCCTAGAGCTGAAAGGGGTATTAGAAGCCATATTGTCTGCCCCATGCATGAAGAAATTGAGGAACACTTAAATGGCAGTGACTAATACTCAACACAATTCTCCAGATGAGACTTACAAGAGTAGAGTATAGCGATATTCTCACATCTCTGTTTTTAGAAACAGCCTTTTTCACTGCAGTCAGATGCCATTGCTTTTTTTGGAAGCCCCATCACACCACAGCCAAGAACTTCTGGGTACTTACTCTTCCTTTCAGTGTCTTCCCCATGTCTCTCAGCTTGCTGTGGAAAAACAACTGAGTACCTACCTCTAGAAACTTTATTGGGAGAGTTCTTGCTACAATCATCATGCACTGTTAACAGCAATTCTTTGACTAATAGCATCTAACCATTTCTGAATTGTATACTTGAAGGCCTGAAACTATCTTCTTTGGATCATAAATATAGAACTATCAAGGATTTTAAAAGCATCATCAATATCATCATTATCATATTCTTATAGCATATTAAGGTTT